GAAAACTCAAAGGAGAACTGGAAGAAAAACAGAAATGCGATGAGTGTAGTGGTAAATTAGGTGATAGTTATTTTTATAATAAAAGTAAAAACGATGGCAAGCGACTATGGGGATCCAGACAACACTCGTAAATAAAATTGTCATAAATTAAAAAAATATGGTAAATTATAATAATAATTGCGAACAACGAGTGAATAGTTTTGTTTATGAAATTGGTTTTTCTAGGCAAGTCTGAGAGAGACCAAATGCATCAATAGATAATTGCAAAAGTTATCGAGATGGATGCAGGGGAGACTGTAAAAGAGGGATAACTAATAATAAAAAAAACTCAATTAATTTGGATAATGAAATAAAACAAACTAGCAATCTAAGCAAGTCAAGTGATTATTGGTATAATAAAATAAAAAGTGAATATGAGGCAAAAACAGTTGTTCCTCCAAAAGACTGTAGGATAATGTAGTATGTATCCTGATTCATTTGCTAGGTGATTGAACTTTATTGGTTTGCTCTCAATAGCGAGTGTTGTATGTTCTTCATTTTTATTGCTACGAATTATTTACCACCTCTGACAAAAAGAGGGAGATGGTATGCTTTTAAGGATATTAGATTTTTTGGCAATTACTATGCTTTTTTTAATTTCTGTCTATTTTGTGTGGCGTGTTTGATTTTGTTAACTTTCCGGTTTTTGTAAAGGCAATGTTAAATTCTTTCTTTTTCCTATTTTTCCATTCTTTTGCCTCTTACTCAATTTTCTTCCCATTCTAACTTGATAACTAACATTCTTTAATCTGTTAGGGTCAAAATTCCGTGCATATTTCCTTTGTTTTTCCTCCCTTTCGTTCCTTTTCCTCCGGCTTTTTAGCCACCCCCTTTAATAACTTCACGGGCAACTTTAACCCTTTTGAAAAACCTAAAAAACCCCTTTCATATTCTAAATTTCTTTACTTCGTTGAATAAATTATTAATTAATTTCTTCCCTCCGCTTTTCTCACTCTGAAATTTTCGCCTTAATTGTTTGATAAATTTCTTGCGTTCATTCTTTATGTTCTTTGGCTAGTTCCTCATCATATTTCCCATATTATTAAGCACTAAATCACTTTCGCAACCTATTCATGCTTATATTCATATATACATCTCAAATCAATAATGGAATTACCATAAAATAATATTATATCAAATAAAGTATGGTTTTGGAAGAAATAAAGTATTGTAAATATTGTAATAGCGAACTCAAAAAAATAGTCTACGAAATAATTGAACCTAACAAGTCGAGTGATTTCGAACGTCATTATTGTAAAAAATGCCCTCGAATGTTCCACTTTCGTGAGCCGACTCAAAGAAGAACCTGGAAAGTTTCTGAAAAAAAGGAGCAAAAAATAAAGAAGGCTACTAAGAGAAAAAGCGACAGATAAGGTAAAATACAATAGCAAAAATATAAAATATAAATATTATGGCAGTCCCAGCACGGAGAAAATCCTCTACTAGAATTAAAAAAGGTCGCGGACCAAAAAGTTGAAGTTTTCATCAAAAAGTTATTAATCAGCCCTTAGTTAAGTGTGTTAGTTGTCAAAAAACTAAGATGCTCCATCATGCTTGTCTGCATTGTTCTGCCTACCGAACTAATTCTAAACCACAATAAAATATTATATTATATTATATTAACCATTCAAAAGGTTAATCGTAGTAAAGACTTTATGTCGTGGAGTCAGACATCCCCTAACCTATGCCTATTAACATTTAATTTAAGTATTGTAATATGACAGAAATAAAAATCCCTTTCACTAAAACTAAAATAGAAACTATTCCAGCTGACAAACTAGAGGCTGGTTGCAAAGGAGTAGAATTGGAAATCAGCACCAGTTTTAAAATGGGAGAGGGTTTGGGAATTAATTTATCTAAGTGTCACGGTGGCACTCCAGAAAATACTTTTGCTAAAATGTTTTTTGTGTTTAAGGATGGAGTCAAAAATAATCTTTATGATGACCTTCTAAGCAGTTCAAAAACTAATTTTGAGTTAAGTTTTGAAAAAGAGAAAGTTTTTTTAATGGTTGGCGGTTTTTGTAATTTTATTGATAAAACCAAACCAGAAATCCAAGTTTATCCGGCTCCTAACAGTCGGAAAATGGGTGTCTTTTTTGAACCAAAGTTTTCTGGTATAATCACTCTCGAGAGCAAGGATAGAGAGAGAGAGAGACGAAAATGGTTCGGACAACCACCAACCAACTCAGCAGGAAATTACTAATTTAAAAACCGAACTGAACCAAGCCAAAAATGACACCAAAGACTTAAAAAAGGCGATTGAGAAAGTTAAAAAAGTAAGTAAAGATATTTTAGACAATAACCAGGATTTAAAAGATAGTTTAAAAGAAGCCCAAGACCGGTTAAAAGATTTAGAAAAAGAACAAACTTCTTCTGATAAAGGTTTTTGGCGAAAAGAAATTATTATTCCGATTATTTTGGTGCTAGTTATAGCAGTTTTTATTGGAATATTTTTTTGAGTTCAGAAAAAGAATAAAAAGAAATAAATTTTTTTAGAGGAGTAACTAGTTTTTTATTAGAAATTTTATTGAAAAAATAAAATATGTCGACCCGGATTCTCTATAAAAAAGATAAGAAAGGTAATTTCGAATATATTACCATTAAAGACCATGCTAATTTTGCTGAAAAAGGGCAGGATATTGTCTGTGCGGCTATTTCTGCTATCACCAACGGCACAGTTAATTTTCTCCAAAAAAACTACCAAAAGAATTGCCGAATTTCTTACTTTCCGGCTGAAATAAGTATTTATCCCCAAAATGATAACCCTGATTGTCAACTATGTTTAAAGTTAATGCTCTATCAATTAGAGAATATTGCTAATTCTTACCCTGCTTATTTAAAAGTAATTAAAGAATAAAAACCTTAAAAATTTTATCTGCAAAATGAATAACAAACTTTCTTTTTCTTTTCAAGTTTCAACTTCTAGTTTTATCAAATCGGCTTCTTATACTGAAAACGGACAAAAATATTTACTCTTTATTCTCAGTGGCATTCTTTTACTCAATAAAGAAACTGGATGAAATCCCTTATTAGTTGTCCCCGATGATAATTCTCCTCTTACTAATCAGTTCAAAAACTTAAAAGTGGGGGAATTTGTTAGTAATTATACCACTTCTTTTTCAAACTTAAAATTTTTACCAAAATTCCATAATTTTTTCGAAGGAGCAGAATATCAAGAACCCGAAATTAGAAACGGTTGATTAGTTAAGGATAC